TTGCATAACATATATAAGACACAAAAACGCATAACACAAGACACCAAAATGCATATCATAAGACACAAAAACGCATGTTATATTTACTTTATTTCAGGTAAAGACTCCATACGCTTAAGTTAGATAATTGCATAACATGAGACACAGAAACACATAACAAAAGACACATACACATGTTTTACAGTATATAAAAAAATATGTAATGTGCAGTGGATTGAACAACAAACAGTTGCCATAAAAATTAAAATTCAAAACTACGTCATTTAGGAACAGGGTCCACTATATAACGATTGGTTATTTATTTACTAAATATTTAAGTCTAACAACACCACTAAAAAAAAAATACTTTAATACATTTTTGGACGGAGGCCTGAAAAGTCAAGTTTACACAAGTATAAAGAAATAAAGTTATGCATTCACTACTAATTATATCATTTAAGATAATCGTGAGCGTTTAATCTTGACATAAGCTTACACTCATGTAATGTATATGTATCATGTATGTGATGAAGGTTTAAACTTTAAACTTGAGGCATCTTGATCTTGTTCACATTACTTTGTCTCAATCGAAATGTGTATCATCTTTGTGAATTTTAATTACATATATAAGATAAAGAATCTTAGTGTACGCATGTTAATATAATAAAATCTTTAGTTGTTATTTACAAGAGTTAATTCTATTTTTGGTTATAGGTGATAGTCCATTTGTAGTCTTTTTTTTTTTTTTTTTTTTTTTTTTAGAACATCCTTATTTGGTCCTAGTATTATTGTAACATGACTATTTTTTATCCTCTCACTCCTCTGTCAACAAAATCGTTGAAATGTCGTTAAATATAAGAAAATTTAGATCTTTTATATAAAAAGTAGGTTGATCTATACTAATATATTTTTTATGTTTATTTTTTTAAAAGAATTCATAATTGAAGACCAAAATGTCCTTGTATTTAACGACATTTAAACTGTTTTGTTGATAGAGGACAAAAAATTGTCATGTCACAATAATATCAGGACTAAAAGTGAATGTTTTGATAAAAAATTAAAAAAAAAAAAGACTCAAAGTAGACTGCCACCTGTAAATCTAGGACAAAAAATGAAATTAACTCGTAAAGCTCAAGAACAACCCAACTTTTTTGCTATTGCTGGTACTGGTAATAGTTCGACCATGGATTTGATAGCGAAAGCTCAGAAGAAGAAGAAGAATTAAGAAGCCGCGTTTATAGCAAACTCAGCTTTGGCCATTGAGTTTCTGGCCATAAAACAGAATCTCCATTGGAATTAATTCAATTTATGTGACAAAACTCAGAGGAGAAAAGAGAAGAAGAAACAGATCAGGGAAGAAGAGGGAATTTCTGTATATTCAAGAAGGATCCAAGGGAGTCCCTTTTGTACAAGAGAAAGCGAGGGAATAAGCTTAACAGAAGCTTAACGGAAAACAACAACTAATCTAACTAATCTGTCAGAAGAGATACAATGAGATGGTGCCAAGTGGCATTGACCGGTGCCTTGACTATTTAGCTTCTTTAATCTCCTGATATCCCCCCGCAAGCTGGAGTGTACAAATTGAACAGTCCAAGCTTGGAGATATAACTGTGGAAGGAGCTGGGGCAATGTGTCTTGGTGAAGGTGTCAGCAAGCTGTTGTTCAGATCCAACATGAAACAATTTTATTACACCTTTACTGAGCTTCTCCCTTACCAAATGGCAATCGAGCTCAATGTGTTTAGTTCGCTCATGAAACACTGGATTCTCTGCAATCGCGATAGCTGATTTACTGTCACAATAAACAGCAGTAGGACCATTATGATCAACTCCCAACTCGGTTAGCAAATAGGATAGCCACTGGACTTCACATGTTGTAGCTGCCAGTGCTCTATATTCAGCTTCTGATGAGGACTTGGATATAGTCACCTGCTTTTTTGATTTCCATGAGACTAAGGCATTTCCTATGAAAATGCAGTAACCAGTCACAGACCTTCTTGTGTCAATGCAAGCTCCCCAGTCTGAGTCAGAGAAAGCTTTCATCTTTAAATCAGATTCAGCTGGAAAGAACAATCCTTGGCCAGGAGCACCCTTGATGTATCTAAGTACCCTGTGAGCAGCTTGCATATGGAGATCAGTGGGGCAATCAAGGATTTGAGAGAGTTGTTGTGTTGCAAAACAAATGTCAGGTCTAGTGATAGTCAAATATAGGAGCTTCCCAACTATTTTTCTATATTGAGTGTTGTCTTCAATAGGCTTTCCACCCAATTTGCTGAGTTTGTGTGATGGTACTGTAGGGCTATGTACAGGTTTGCAGTCTGTGAAACCTGTATCCTTAAGCAACTCAAGGGCATATTTCCTTTGACAAATAGCCATTCCTTTATTCTGCCTGGCAACTTCCAGGCCTAGAAAATACTTCAAGGGACCTAAGTCCTTTATTTTGAAACTAGAATTGAGCTGGTTTTTGATGTCTTGTATTATCCCCAAATCTGCACTGGCAACAAGTATATCATCCACATATACTAATAAAGCCACAAATGAGTCTCCTTCACCTTTGGTAAACAGAGAATTGTCAGGAATAGACTGTCTAAATCCCATGCTTTGTAATGCAAGACTAAGCTTGGTGTTCCACTGCCTACTAGCTTGTTTTAATCCATATAGGGATTTTTTTAGTTTGCATACCTCACCATTCCCTTTTCCTGAAAGTCCAGGAGGTAATTGCATGTAAACTTCCTCATCCAAATCACCATGGAGGAATGCATTATTGACATCCATTTGATGCAAGTGCCAACTTTTGGCTGCTGCAACTGGTATAAGTGTTCTTATGGTGGTCACTTTGGCCACTGGGCTGAAAGTGTCAAGATAATCAACTCCAAGAACTTGATTGTATCCTTTTGCTACAAGCCTTGCCTTGTACCTTTCAATGGTGCCATCAGCTTTGTGTTTAATCTTGTACACCCACCTACATCCAATAGGTTTCTTGAAAGGAGGAAGATCAACTAGTTCCCAGGTACCATTCTGCTCTAAGGCTTTAATCTCCTCTTCCATAGCTTTCTTCCAACATTCATGCTGAGCTGGTTCCTGATAAGATTTAGGTTCAGAATGGTGAGTGATATTCATGACAAAAGTTTGAAAGTCTGTTCCCAATCTGCTGTAGTCCAGGACCTTATTCAAGGAGTGAGGACTAGTTATCTCAGTTGAACTTTGGCAAACATAATTTTGTAGGTAGGATGGAGTGTGTTTCTGTCTTGTGGACCTTCTGATGGCCTGTTGGGGATGGCCCTTTGGCATAGCAGGTGGCTGCTCAAGGCTTTCACATGGTAAACTGCAATCAGCTTGGTCAGAATGACCACTAGTTTGATTCTGGGCATTTGTTTCATCTGGTGGCTGATCAAGGGCCTGATGTAGGGAAGAACCACAGGCCTGCTCATTGATACTGATGGCTTGATGTTGAGGAATTTCAGAATCCTCATTAGAATCATCAACAGGAGTACTAGTCATTGTGGGGAGAATCATTTGATTAGACCTCTTTTCCTGATTATTGTTCTGTTGGAAAGGAAAAACCTGTTCATACATGATAACATCTCTGGACATGAACAATTCCTTTGATGAAATATCATACACCTTATACCCCTTTGTGTTGCTGCCATACCCAAGAAAAATACATTTCCTGGCTCTAGCATCTAACTTGGATTTAGGACCTACTGTGGTGGCAAAAGTTAGACATCCAAAAAATTTCAAATGATGATACTGAGGGATCCTTTTAGTCAGTACTTGGTTTGGAATTTGATTATTAATAGCAGTAGAGGGAAGCCTATTAATCAAGTAAGCTGCATGTAAAACACACTCACCCCAAAACAATTCTAGAAGATTGGCTTGAAATCTGAGGGATCTGGCAATTGATAACAAGTGGCCATGCTTTCTCTCAACCCTGCTGTTCTGCTGAGGTGTATGGATACAGGAAGTCTGATGTACAATGCCCTTCTGACTAAAAAAGTCAATCATATTAAACTCAAGCCCATTGTCTGACCTTATGCACTTTATAGTTGTTCCAAACTGATTTTCAACTAGACTGCAAAAATTTCTAACCAAGCTCCTGACTTCAGATTTTACTTTCATCAGATATATCCAGACTGCCCTGCTGTGATCATCCAATATGGTAAGGAAATAGTGATGACCATGTATTGTTGCTGTTTTATAGGGTCCCCATATATCCATGTGTAATAAATCAAAGCAATTAGCTGCAATAGAGAAACTAGATTGAAAAGGAGATCTTTTTTGTTTAGCAAAATGACAAGAATCACAAAGCAACTCTTTATTGATCTGAATAGTAGGTTCCAATTCTTTCAAGAACTGTATTTTGGAATATGAGGCATGCCCCAGTCTAGCATGCCACAAATTACATTTGTCATTAACAGAAACTGAATTGCATATAATAGCTACATCAGGAGATACTAGGTGATATAGTCCATTGTGCAGCTTAGCTTTTCCAATCACCTTGCCATGAGCTGCAGCCTGTATAACACACTGATTAGAATAGAATTTCATAACATAGCTTGATTTCTTGATGAGGGCTCCTACTGAGATTAGATTGTAGTGAAAACCAGGCACATATAGAGCATTATTCAAGATAAAATCATCAGACAAATGTACTGAGCCAGTATAGGTGATGGCTGCCTGTTGGCCATTTGGCAATTTCACATGAAGATTGTGAACCCTTTCTTGAGTGCCTAACAACTTCAAATCACAAACAATGTGATGGGTAGCACCACTGCCCACAATCCAACCAAACTTACCACAACTAACAGAGTTTATGGAAGGAATGGTACCTTCACTTATAAAGTCTGCTGACACTGTGTTTGCTAGGGCTTGTAAAGGCTGTTCAATAGGTGAACTCATCAAGCAGTCTTTTCCTGAGGCATTGCTAGCTGACTTCTTCATCTGCATAAACTCCATGAAATTTCTGAAGTCATCCTGGGTGAAAGTACCACCAGTGTTGGACTGTTGCACTGTTGGTGGACCTTAAGTCTGATTCACTGCACCTTGACTTCTTGATTTTGGTTTCCAACCAGGAGGATAACCATGTTTTTTGTAACACTTGTCTTGTGTGTGACCTGTGTATCCACAATATGTACATATAGGTCTCTTCCCATTTGAATAAGGCTTCTTGTACCCTTGTTGAAAGTTACCATCTGTTCTGGCCATAAACACATTTCCCGCAGTGTTATTTTCTCCTGTCTGATGTAATTGACTCTCAAAGCCAACAGCCATCTCAAATTGCCTTTCATGCTGTGCAATCATGGAGTATGCCTCATTCACATCTGGTAAAGGCCTCATGAGCATTATTTGATTTCTTGCTCCTGTGTACCTTTCATGTAGCCCTATCAAGAAGATGGACAATTTGTCTTTCTCAGATTGCTCATTCATCTCATCAATCTTCTTGCCACACTGACATCTAATACTACAAGCGCAGTTCATCTGAGGTCTGAGAATACTCAATTCATCCCATAAGAATTTCTGCCTAGTGAAGTATTCATTTAAGGAATTGTCTTCTTGTTTAGTTCTGTAGATTTGACACTTGATTTCTGCTATCCTGAATAAATCTTGCTTATTGAATCTCCTCTTTAAATCATCCCAAATCCCAGAGGCAGTGTCAATCCAAAGGACACTTCTCCCAATTGTTGGGGACAATGTGCGCACTAACCAGGAAACCACCATGTTGTTACACCTTTCCCAAGCCAGATATTTCTCTACATCATCTGTGGAAGGCTTCATGATAGCTCTTATCTTGTTCTTGCAAGATAGCGCCATAGTCATGGCTCTAGCCCATGGATGGTAATTTGAACCATCCATGGGGAATGAAACTAGTTCTAATGCAGGGTTCTAATTTATGTGCAGAAAATAGGGATTTGAGTGGGATTGGGGATCGAAAGTTACCCCTGTGTTGGCCGAACTCATCGCCGGAGTAGAGGAAGTGCCTGCCGGAGCTGTTGCATTCCCATTTGTCTGAGTATTTGCTGGATTCCCTGATACACCGTTAGTCGGAATTGGACGACTGCCGATTGGGGGCCAAGCATCCATGGTCGTCTTTTCAATTCGAATGTGCGAAATCGAGGCTCCTCTGTGTGTGTTCTAAGATATCTAAGATATCTTCGGGGTACTTCAAGTCTGAGTTTGTGTTTTGGTAAAGGGAAACCTATTCTCACCGGATACACTGATTCTAAGATATCTTCGGGGTACTTCAAGTCTGAGTTTGTGTTTTGGTACATGGAAACCTATTCTCACCGGATACACTAATTCAGATATGGCTGGAGACGTTGATACGAGGAAGTCCACTTCAGGCTATCTGATTACCTATGCAGGGGGAGCAGTTTCATGGCAATCAAGATTGCAAAAGTGCGTTGCTTTGTCTACCACTGAAGCTGAGTTCATAGCATCTGTTGAGGCTAGTAAAGAAATGCTATGGATGAAGAAGTTTATTCAGGAGCTCGGGTTTGTTCAAGACAAGTATGTGCTCTATTGTGATAGTCAGAGTGCAGTTCATCTTGCAAAGAACTCCACGTTCCACTACAGGTCAAAACATATTGACACAAGATATCATTGCACAATGTTGGTCCCAAAAGAGGTAAGGTGAAAGTCTAGAGGGGGGGGGGGGGGTGAATAGACTTTCAAACTTTTTCGCACAATATAACAAAAGGTAAGCCAGAGATAAACCAAGACTCTTAACTAGATTGTTAGAGTCCGGTTCACAGCGGAATTAAATAAACGATACGGTGTGTGTGTAGATCGTGTCAAGATTATTGACGTGAGAAGCAAGCAAGAGCAGTAAGTAAAGAAAGCAGTAAAGAACACAAGGCAATTTATAGTGGTTCGCGAGGTGATGTAATCCTCCTACTCCACTTGCTCTTTTCTCCAAGAGCTAATTCACTATATCCACCACTTCTTGGTTCCAAGATACAATGAATTCCGTGATCTAGTGCTTTGATCACCAAGCCCACACTAATCACGCCCAGTGCCTCCGACACTGCTGCTTCGGGTTTCACGTCGCCGCGTTACTTTCCCAGGATTTCACAACTCCGTGCTACTTTCCCCCCGTCTTCTACGATCCGGTAGAAACGTATCTTCCGTGATCTGGGGCTTTGATCACCAAGCCCACACCAATCACGCCCAATGTCCTCCGACACTACTGCTTCGGATCTCACAGCTCCGTGTGACAATCCAGGATTTCACAACTCCATGTTACTTTCCTCCTTTCCCTTGTTTTGCTCCAAAACAAGTTTTGCCTTGCTTCCAACTTTGAGACTCTGTAGATGATCTTCAATGGTGCGCTGAGTCTCTTGAAGTTGATGAAGATTTTAACACTCTTGGATATTTCTTTTCTAAGCTCTGTTTCACTCTGAGTGTTTATCTCACAAAAGATATATCAATTTAAGCTCTTGAGATGGAAAGCTTTCTTTGAATTTTGTATGCTCTGTTTAGCTCTGTATTCTTGCTTCTTTGTATTTCGCTTTTCTTGCTTCTGCCTTCCTCAGCTTCAATCTTCATCTATTTATAGCTGGTAATGAGAATCCATCCGTTGGAAAGAAACGGTCTCATTTTCGAATTTTGCTTAGCTGTATAGCCTTTTGTCAGAAGATAAGATAACGTTGCAGATCTTGTCAGATATTTCAAATTGAGCTTGAGGTTTCAGCAAAAATAGCGTCCCATGAATCTCCATCTGGTGTAGATCACGCCTCTTGGGATTTTTATCTTCAAAATATATTCTCCAATATAATCCCTTACTAGTTAGACTAGTATTTTTTATCACGCCTCTGTTTTTCGTGTATCTGGGTCTGTATACTGCTTCCAGACTTCATCTCTTCAATTGACTTGGAAATCTCTTCCCTTGTGAAATTTGGGAAATGAAATCTCTATCCCTTGCTAGATTTGTCAATTGAATTCTCATCCCTTACTTGATTTGGAATTAGATTTGTCAATTGAGATCCCTTACTTGATTTGGAATTAGATTTGTCAATTGAGATCCCTTACTTGATTTGGAATTGCAATCTCATCCCTTACTTGATTTGGAATTGCAATCTCATCCCTTGCAATCTATATTTCCAATTGAATTGAAGCCTTGTAAATCTCATCCCTTCAAATTGATTTCCCTGTACCAATTTGATCTTCAATTCTTCTGATGAAATTGCATCCCTATTTCAATTTCGGGGTTCCAATTTGTTTGGGATACCAATTTGAGAAACTGCATCCCTTCACTTGTAAACTTCATCCCTTAGTCAATTTGGAAATCTCATTCCCTTTGACTTTGCAAATTGCATCCCTTGAAATCTCATCCCATAGACTTGGGATTGCATCCCTTCACTTGTAAACTTCATCCCTTAGTCAATTTGGAAATCTCATTCCCTTTGACTTTGCAAATTGCATCCCTTGAAATCTCATCCCATAGACTTGCAAATTGTATCCCTTCGGCCAAACCATCGCCTCTTACTTGATCAGATGGAATTTTAACTTGGCTTCTTTAAAATATGTGGGATGTGACATTCGAACCTATGACCTTGCACATAATATTTCAAGCTTCTACCATCTTGTCCGTACAGCCTATTAGTTATTTTCTTGTTCCACTTGGTGTACTCCTTTCTTTCCATAGATGCTTGATCTTCAAGATAGCTTCATGCAAACTTCTAGTCACGTTCTTTCTTCTTCGGGATTTCTTGAGGGATTTTCTCAAATTTCATACGCATACATCTTCCTCTTCTGTTTGCCATTTTCTCTTGACAAATTCTTGATTTTTGGCTTGATATCTTCTTCATCCATTTCTTCAACTAATGAATTTATTTTTCCCTTTCTTGGTCTAAGACTCGACTAGTCTAATAAAATAAAATTGGGGATCTACGAATTACAATATGGCTTATCAAAATCTATTACAATTTATTCCTAACAGTGTTGCTCTGATACCATGTGACAAAACTCAGAGGAGAAAAGAGAAGAAGAAACAGATCAGGGAAGAAGAGGGAATTTCTGTATATTCAAGAAGGATCCAAGGGAGTCCCTTTTGTACAAGAGAAAGCGAGGGAAGAAGCTTAACGGAAAACAACAACTAATCTAACTAATCTGTCAGAAAAGATACAATGAGATGGTGCCAAGTGGCATTGACCGGTGCCTTGACTATTTAGCTTCTTTAATCTCCTGATAATTTATATACTAAACATAAATTTTTATTAGAGAAAAAAATAATGAATCGTCTCAATTTGAATAGAATCTCTAGTTGTACTTTATTTAGACATTGATTAACAGCCATAGAACGAAATTAAATAAAATGCATAAATTCCTATACTTGACTTAAAATTTATTAGAGAAGAAAATAATGAATCATTTCAATTAAGGACGTAAGCGAGTTAAGTTACTCGCTGTCAATTCAACGCAGTTCAAACTCTAGTAATTCTAGTACCAAATTGAGTGAAATTTGAACATCGTTGTACTCAATTCAAGCAGCTCACATGCCTAATTGAGTTATTATTATTATTATTATTATTATTATTATTATTATTATTAGAGAAAAGGGTTAAATAGATCCCTAAACTCTAATTAAAAATTAAGACTAAGGTTCTGTTTGGCAAATCTAGCTGAAAAGCTATAAGTTAGAAGCTGAAAACTGAAAAGCTATAAGCTCGGAGTTGAAAACTGAAGAACTGTTAAACTAGTTGTTATGATTGAAAGTGTTTAGTAAAATTAGCTTTTTGATAAGCTTATAAATGTGAAAAGACTATAAAGGACATCTTCATAAAATTTAAATTAGTTTGTTTACATTAGGCCTGTGCAAGACCCGACCCACCCGAAATTTCCGTCCGACCCGAGAACCGTGTAAAGCAGCTCCGACCCGATCCATATCCGAATGTCTGAAACCGACCGAATTTGTTTTTGTTGTCGGTTTATTTATTTCGGGTAGGGGTGTATATACTTACACCCGATCCGTCCGAAATATCCGAAAGAAGATAGGGCATTAGGGTTTGCCTTTGTATATATATATATATATATATATATATATATATATATATATATATATATATATATATATATATATATATATATATATATATATATATATATATATATGTGTGTGTGTGTGTGTGTGTGTGTGTGTGTGTGTGTGTGTGTGTGTGTGTGTGTGTGTGTGTGTGTGTGTGTGTGTGTGTGTGTGTGTGTGTGTGTGTGTGTGTGTGTGTGTGTGTGTGTGTGTGTTAATCATATCCCATTGTTTCAGCTTTGGAGGTCGAGCGCAGTTGCGACTCTCTGCTTCTCCAATAATTCTCTCTCTGTGTTTTCTTCTCTGCTCTCTAGTCTCTTCTCTGTTCTCTCTTTGAGACTCTTGCAATCTGATCTCGTCCGATACACAGGCCTACTTCTTCGATTTCTCCAAGTTCTGAGAGAGTGACCCAGTGAGCATCTAAGTTCTCTTCTGAGTCTTCTCTCTCGACGACTCGACCCACCCGTTCTCTCTTTTGTGAGTTTGTTAGTCTCTCAGTCTCACAATCCTGGTTCTGTTGATCCGGTGGTACTAGTGGAAGCTCTAGCCCCGTAGCTCGTAGCGAGTGTGACTGTTGAAGGCTTGAAGCCCTTGTTCTCTCGAGAAATATTGTGAGAAAAGCAAACCCTAATTTTATAGTTTTGATTTATTGATTTTATTGTGATATTTGGAACTGAATTTTGTAGATTTTGCCCTACTTTGTGATTTATGGATACATGCATCTTGACATCACTATGTATCTAATATTTGTGATTTATGGATATATGACTTTACTGTCATATGAAATGTTGATCACAAAATGATGAAAATATAATCTGAAATTTGTGATCTCTTTGCTTAAAATGTGGCCATATGATTTGTTGATCACAAAAAATGATGAGAATATCTTTTGATTTTGTGATTATGTGCTTGAAATGCATGAATATATATACTCCATTACTGTGGAAGCTTATGTAGTTCTGTGCATCGGATGGGTTCAGACGGATCGGATTTCTTAATTCACTGAGTGTTCATTTTTTGAAAGTATTGGATAATATGGGTTATATGACCATATGAATTG